CATCATTTGACCCAGTTATACCACTCCTCAGCAATGTTCCAGAGGACTTAAAATCAGCATACTAGAGTGACATGGCCACATCAATGTTCATGGCAGCTCAATTCACAATAACTAAGCTATGGAATCAACCTAGGTGCACTTGAACAAATGAATGGATAAAGAAAACACAACACATATACATAATGGAATAATACTCAGCCATAAAGAAGAATGAAATTATGGTATTTGCCAGTAAATGGATGAAACTGGATACTATCATACTAAGTGAGATAAGCCAATACCACAAAATGAAAGGCCAAGTGTTCTGATATGTGGATGCTGACTCACAACGGGGGGGGGTGGCAGAGGTTCACTGAATTGGAGGAGGGAGTGGGCTGGGAATAGGGGGAAGGGAGGAGAGTTAAGAATGGGAAAGATAGTAGAATAAATCGGACATAACTTTCATATGTTCATATATGAATACATAACCAGTGTAACTCCACATCATGTACAACCACAAGAATGGGAAGTTATACTCCAAGTACGTATAAGTCAAAATACATTCTATTGTCATATATAACTAAACAAACAAACAAAATAAAAACAAATAATGGATGGATTGCACTCCAGATCAAAACAAAATATTTTAAAGTAAAAAAAACAAAAGTGAAAAAGACATTAAATATTGTATACCTACTGAAACAGTTACTAAATCTTGTACATCTTTATGACTAACCAACTGAACATTGCTGTCTTCATAATAGTGAACCTGTGTGATGAAGTATCTGATAAAGTTTATGTTTATGTTTAGTTCATATAGAATCCTATTACTTAATGCACAGATTCATGCTTTAAGCTATCTTTTAAGTTGACAATCCATGTTTAGCAATTCTGAATAATTAACACAATCAATGATAATCCATAGTGGTATTAAAATAAAATTCATAGGATATTTAAGTTTAAGAATTCTTTTTTTAATATTTATTTTTTAGTTGTAGTTGGACAAAATATCATTAATTTATTTATTTTTATGTGGTGCTGGGGAATGAACCCAGGGCCTCACTCATGCTAGGCAAGTGCTCTACTGCTGAGCCACAAACACAGCCCAGTTTAAGAATTCTTTGGGCTTGATGTTGCATGCCTGTAATCCCAGTGACTTGAGAGGCTAATGCAAGAGGATGGAAAATTTGAGGCCAGTATTAGCAACTTAATGAAACCTTGTCTCAAAAAATAAAAAGGGCTGGATATAGTTCATTGGTAAAGTGAACCTGAGTTCAATCTTGTACAAAAGAAAAAAAAAA